ATAATCCAGCACACGTTAGCAATTTGGTCTCTAGTTCCTCTGCCCCTTCGAAATCGAGCTTGTACTTCTGGGAGGTCTCAGTCCACATACTGCTGAAGCCTACCTTGGAGGATTTTGATCATAACCTTGCTAGTATGTGGAATGAGTGCAATTCTACAGTAGTTGGAACATTCTTTGGCACTGCCCTTCTTTGGGATTGGGATGTAGACTGATCTTTTCCTGTCCTCTGGCCGGGGTTGAGTTTTCCAAGCTTGCTGGCATATTGACTGTAGCACCTTAACAGTGTCATCTTTTAAGATTTTAACTAGTTCAACTGGTGTGATTAAAGGTAGGCAAAACCTGACTTGCGGGGTTGCTGCAGAGTTTGTTTAGATATCTTGTAATAAAAGGTGGACACAGATGAGGCTTTTATCCCTGGGGAAATGACAGACATGAAAGCTTTATAAATAAGAAAGTAGGTGAAAACTAAGCAAAAATAAACATCTAGATATTTGGATTTATCATTGGGGCATCTGGTTCTATATAACTTGATCGGCCTTGCTTTCCAAAACTGTGGCAGTTGGAAGAGACATTCCAAAGAATTCTAGCCTTATTTCTGAAATGCTCCCAGCAGTGACACAACATATGGAATGCCTGAAGGATTTTAAATTGCCTTGTCTAGTAAGCTAAGTTCTTAGAAACTTGCATTCTTTTTGTTCCCTGTGTTTAGAAGGTGGATTTGTCTGAATCATCAAGGCAATTAAGTGGCTTCCTGAGGTGCCTTGCAGACCGTCTGGAAAGTGGCAAAGAACTGAAGTCATCTGACATGAAAAAAGACTTCATTATGAACAGATTGCCTCCCTTTTTGGGGACCAATTTTGACTCTTTAGCTGCAGGTGCTGTTTAAATTTATTCCGGGTGCTTTTTAATAAAGAGTAAGAAGTAATTTGTACCATAAGTATGTAGAATAATGTATGTATCAGACACAAAGAAATAACATAGCTGAATTAAAATGTGGGTTGTGTCAGGGATCGAATATAGATGTTATATTTCTGAGGAGTCTTCTGTTTTGCTCTTTTTTCTTTCATGTTGTCTTTAGTGTCTTTAGGGTGTGCATCAAAGCATGTGCAGCTACTTCCATTATTTTAAAAAAATGTATTTTGCAGTCTTTCTAATTAGGGAAATCGTCTCTGTAATCATCTCTGAGTCTTTACTTCATATAGTAATAGTACTCTGGCAGGAATTTGTCAGCTCTACTACTTCAAAATAGACAAAGAAGCATAGAGGTCTGGTTGTCTATCCTTCTGTCCAAAGTAATGTGACTATTCTTTATTTAGGTGGAGCTATGCCAAGGTTAGGCAGCACAATCAGATTACGGTTTAAAGACTATACAGTAATCACAGTAGAGCCAGAACAAGACCTTTTGGTGAGTTCAGATACTTGATTTTCATTGAAGATTTTTTTTCCTTATAGTGGCTGTGTGCTATTTTTATACTGCTTAGCTGAATCCCACAGCATGTGGTTAGGACTTGTCATGACATCACAGCAAATCCTACTGGACTGTTCAGAAAAAGAAAGGTGCTAACATTTTGTAGGAGTTGAAAAGCTAGATGTGGTTTCTTCTCTAAAATTGGGCTTAAAACACAAGGGAATGTGTGCGTGTGCGTGCACCCCCCCAAAAAATTTAATAATAGCTTACTATAGTCATAGCTCAACAGTATCTCTAAATAATGTTTGAAGAAATATATTTAATGAATGCTGGAATCCTGTTTGCAAGGTGCAATGTAAATTTATGCTGTTCTGAAAATGCTGGGTGTTTTTTCAGGTCAGGGAGTCTGATGCCCGAACCGCTTCCTAAGAGTCATACAGAACTTTGTAGACGTCCAGGTCAAAATCAGAACCCTGTGTTTGTCACAGCTGGCATTTATCTCCAAAGTGTTAATTCCAGTATTTATTTATTTATTTATTTATTGGATTTATATACCGGCCCATAGCGCTACAAGCACTCTCCGCTACAAGTATAACCGAAAGGAATATTTTGCACATTGTACAAGTCTCGCTTTTTCTGAATATCCTTTAATTTCTTTGTCCCACACAAGACAGACAATAAATGTCCAATAAATTTTCTATTTTTTTCTTTTTATTGAACACGCACATTGCAGGCATATATAATAATAAGAATAATAAGAATAATCTTATATATTGTTGTTCATTGAATTTTCTATTGAAAATCCAAAAAAACTGAACTATAAAAACTCAATATAATGTTATAGGAATTTAACTATGAAAACTTAATGGACTAAATGGAAAATATCAGTAACTACTCTAACATTACTTAAAATGGTTAACAAAAATTAATATGGTGCTTAATGATGAAATAATTATCTGTAACTTAAGTGTTACAAATACTTAATAAAAAAGTATTACAAAGACATATTCTTTCAACTATAGAAATTAATTCTCAAAGTCACATCTATGAACATCTTGAGAGACGATGTAGTTAAGAGACTAAAGCAATTATTATAAGCAATTATATCAGTATATAAGAAACAAAAATATTACACACACAAACAAAGAGCAGAGTTTTCTCCTTTCTAACGGTGCTTTCCTGGCGTCCATTGCCCGTTATCTTTTCTGGCTGTTATTTATACCCTTATCTTTCCTTTATCAACTCTCAATAATTGTCTTTGTGGGACTTGGAGGTCCAGGGGCTTGGAGCACCAAGAAAAAAAATTAATAGGAAATTCTATGATTGTTGTATTTACTGTACCTCTAAGGGTGTCTAATTCAGAACCTGGCAAGCTGCCACTATGATGATAATGGAACTGTTTTGAATAAAATTTTGCAAAGCTTAGAGTAATAAAGACCTGTGGCATAAAGCATTTGATGCACCCAAGGTTCTAGAACAACAGACTGTTGTAACACAAAGGTATTAGAAATAAAAATATTACAAATTATATGTCTTACATCCTTTGTTTATGCTTTATTATCATTTGTAAAACATTTGTTGAACCACCAGAATTGTTATGGTATAGCAACTAGTGCTTTTAATTTTCGGGGATTTTTTTCCTGCACCTGCTTTAGTTATTTTAACTCTCTACACACCATATTTTATGTCTTGACAGTTCCACCCCAGCAACAAACTTTATAAGTTGATTGCCCGGTTAACCACGTGGTTGCCGTTTCAATTGATTGGTCAATACCCTGGCAGAAATGTTTCATGAATAGTATTTTTGTCTTGGTACAATTGTAGTGACTGTGTGCATAATGTCAGGTTCTTCTTCGTGGCCTCTGTGAATCACACCCTAGGTGATCCGCGCCTGCGCAGAGCTTCTTCGGCTCCAGAACCTTTTCCTCCAAAAAGAGTCAAATAATCTGAGGCTGTGGTCATCCGTCCACAGCCTCAACAACTCTCTTGAGTCAATTTTGGTTGGTTCTCCTCTGATGATCACAGACTCCTGTCCCATCAACCATGTTCTCAATAACCAGAATAAGATGATAGAGTTGATCGTCCTCTCCTCCTAGTCTGCAGCCTTCTATTCCATCGAGCAACCCCTCAGTTATTATTTCACCCGAGGGCATCTATCCTGAGGGACTCTACACCATTCCCTACTCGGTGCCATCCGACTGCCCACCGGTCCCTAAACAGAGGCATCGACAACAACAATCTCAACAGCCGGCTCCATCATATGTGGCTAAAACCCATGCTCAGCACAATCATCAGATTGCCATTTGCCTTGACCAGTGCTCGTTTCAACAAGCCTACCAGAAGAACCTACCAGCCGACCGGCCATTTTACCTGGTTCGATGGTACCATCTAGTAGTCGGCCTCCCTCTCGACAGCCATTGGTGTTGAAATGGCCATACCACCAAGACTCTACTATACCTCAAGCCGCTCCCTACCTGGTGCCGAAAAAGCCCAGAAAGGTCGAGGAGTTCTCTTCCACTTGCAAGGATTTTACAGCCCCAGCCTCCCAATAAGTTTCCTACCAGACCAGAGGATGGAAATCATTCTTCACGCTTGGCATCGCCAGTGTCTGTATATTCTACTGCTATGCCATCGCATCAGCAACCTCCATTTAGACACCACAGGGACACAGGCTCTGATATTGACGATCCACTATATCCATCCTGGTTCCATGGACATCCGCTCCATCCTGTTACCTCCACAAGATTCCCGACCTCTGGTGAGTCCGAGACATCGACCTCGACACCATTATGATACCGGGCTTGACACTGAGGTCCATCCACACCAAACAAGGTCCATGCCCTGCCTCAAGGTAAGATAGCTTATTAGTCACCCAGGGTGTGATTCACAGAGGCCATGAAGAAGAACGACAGGTTACCCACCTGTAATTGTAGTTTTTCGAGTGGACCTCTGTGATTCACACATCCCACCCATCCTTCCCTCTGTCACACCATTTTGCTTACTCTAAGCGGAGATTGATGTAACTGAAAAGGGACGCTTGGTGCCAAGGTACTTATACGGGGGAGGGGCTTATTCTAATGTGTTTTTTTGCTACCGCAGAAGCTCTAGAATCTTCTGATGAGGCTCCGCGCAGGCGCGGATCACCCAGGGTGTAAATTACAGAGGTCCACTCGATGAACTACAATTGCATGTGGGTAACCTGTTGTTATACCAGCCATAGTTAACTATCCCGAAAAGGGATAGATGGTAAGGCTTTTGAATTATCAAGCTCTGAAGGAGGTGGAAGTTGTACTACAACCTTCCATGTTGCTTGCTAGGCTATACATAACACGTGAGTTCTTTTTGTTCTTGTTTTCCAGGATGATTCTACCAAAGAAATTATTTTTGTGTATCATTCCTTAAAGAATAATAGGCAGAACCATATGATGGGAGATGAAAATATGGATGAAGAAGAAATAAGAGAGGTTAGTTTTTTTTCCTTGATTCTTTCCATTAGGCCCTTTTAGTGATGCAGTCTGCGCTGAAATTCCTCATTTAAAAATCTCAGTTACCTTTGAAGAAATTGCACGGTCTGGCTGTTCTTTTGTCCCTTTATACTGGTCACATGTCAATACTGTGTTAGGGTTTTGGTTGGCCATAGTAGCATCCTCCTTCCTCTCTCTTTGAAGTTGCTTGCTTTCTTTGGAAACATGAGAGTTCTCCCAAGTAGACCAAGGAGCCATGTGGACTGGCATCCTCTGTTCAGCAGTAGTTAGCTAGATGCCTTTAGGAAGCCCAGAAGTCAGGTATAAAGTCAACAACCCACCTTATTTATACTAGAGTAACATTCTGTTGCTGCTGCTGCTTCTTTTTTTAAACTTGTAATTTCCAGGATCCTTCAGCTAGCTTGACCAGTAATTATGCTGCCAGGTGATTCAGATGTGGTAGTCCAAAGAAATTAACTTTTTCAAGCTGCAGTACCTTTGATCCCTGAGGCTGAATTTGGTTTTTGTAGTAAACAGCTTTTATAGAAGTGACTGTGTTAGTTTGTGCAAGCATATCCACTCAGTAGAAACTGACTTTATCTGCAAAAGCTCACATGAAATGTAAGCTTTTAAGGTGTCAATAGCTTTTTGCTTTGTTTCTATCTGAATATAGTAAACAGCTGTGATTTTTATATGTGTCTTGTTCCCACTGTCCCATACTGAGTCATGTTTTAAAATACCTATGCTGTACATCATCTTGAATATTATTCATTGAAGTATGTTCTACTGAATTTTTAGATAAAGTGGGGAATGGAAAGAACAGAAATGATATGGATTTGGTTTGTTTCAGGTTTATTTATTTACAGTATAGCTATTTACTGTGTTGTAATGAAAGTTAAAGGCAACCTTCTGTGTAAACCTGTCTGTTGTTTCATTCTTGGACTGGAATTGGAATGTTCTGGGTTCAAAGTCCTACTCAGCCCTGAAGCATTTGGTTGGGCCCAGAACAGTCGCCCAAATGGGAAAGCCCCATTGTTGGTCCTCTGCTTCTGCAAGCCAGGTCAAGACAGACATGTAATGAATATAGCGAGTTACTGTAGTTTCTTTCCAAGTGTCTGTTAATTTTTCTACATCAGATTTTTTAGTGGGTAAATTGCTGTTTCTTCTTTATAAAACAGCACTCTTCCTCCTACATGCTTGAGAAGGAGGAATTTTGTCTTACATTAAGGGCATTCGATTGTACATTTTTTTGGAACACAGAGGTATTGTTTTCAATAAGCTCTGCAGCTGACCTAACATGAATCGAAGCTGCTTAAAGCTCTCTTTTGGAGTTGTGCTAGTGCTTCACTTCTGCTGGTTATTGAAGTTTTTCATACGCCACCTGTCTTAAGAAATAAGAACGGACAATGAATTAGAATAAAAATGATGTGGCGCATAACTTTTCACAAACATATTAGCTAGCTGTCTCTTGGCCCTGTTCTCCAGGAAGCATGTCAAGCATGTTCTCCCAAAGTGGCATTTTGAGGCAGATTAATTGTACATTTACAATTTTGCAAGTAAGATTCTCTTCATACAAGGCTTTTGCTTTCATTGCTAATGAAAGCACAGCATATGAGAACAACATCCTAGATATATTTGCACTACAGGGGTGGACAACCTGTGCTCTCCAATTATTGTTGCACAACTGTTTCCCATATGAACTAATCTGACCTAAGACTGATGGCAGCTGTAGTCTGGGAGGGCCATATGTTGCCTCTAAGGAATTAGGGATTCTGACATTGCCCACCCAGAATTGCCATCAGCCCTAGTTTTTAGCTGCAGATGTAGCAGCAAGGCCTGTTAACTTCAATAGCACTTAAATTTGCAAGTAGCCTAAGACATTTAGTCTGCACCAACCTAAAAAGCTGTAAGGTCCATTGAACATAGTTGGATTTTCTTCTATGTAAATACGCTTTGGATTGTGTTGTGGAAGAAGAGTAGCTGATATGTGTAGTTAAGATGTTCACTAAACTCACATAGATTGGGCTGACTGCTTTGAATCCAGTTAATCCAGTAAAGTACTCTTAGTTTCCCTGGGGCAGGCAAATATTTGGAGTAAGCAAAGCAAGAAATGGCTTCTAGATTTAAAGATGCTAGAGCTGCCATAAATATGATGGGAGTGTACAAGATTGTATGGTCCACAGCTTTTGCTTACGCACAGTAGATATTCTTCCACATTGCTGACACATACTGTTTAGTTGTTCAGAAATCACATTTATTCACCCTGGGAAACACTGCAACTGTGGCCTATTCTCTCCAGTGGAGACAGTGAGTCTAAAGCGGAGAGCCTCCACTATTTGTGGGTGATTTCCATGTAAGTCAGGATGCTGATTTTCCAGGACACAGATTAACATGCAGAGTCTAATGGAAAGTTGGACACTCCCTTTTTCAGAGTTGTTTCTTTCCACATGTAAGGGAATAATGGCATCAGAAATAAGAGAGGATCAGGGCCACCATGTTCCATTTTACTGAGCACGTGTGATTTCTGAATGACTGAACAAAGCTGCCGTGTGGTCATTCTGTCCTGCTTCCTAGGCCGCTGCTAGAAATTTAATTCCCTGTATCAAGATGGCAGATAGCTTTCCTGTGATGATAAAACACACAGGATGTTGTAACCTTAACACATTAGGGATCATCAAGATAATTCAGCTGTACAGTGGACCCTCTACTTACGGAATTAATCCGTATTGGAATGGTGGCTGCAAGTCGAAAAGTCTGTAGGTCGAATCTCCATTGACCTACAATGCATTGAAAACCAATTAATTCCATAACTAGCAGTTTTTTTTTCTATTTTTGTTCCATTTTGGTTTTTTTCTGGTCTGTAAGTCGATTCTCCGGCTGCAAGTCGAATCTAAATTTTGCGACCAGAGAAGTCTGTAACTCGAAAAGTCTGTAAGTCGAGCCGTCTGTAAGTCGAGGGTCCACTGTAGCAGGAATCTTAACTTAGCCTTTATAATTGTAAATAGTTCTAGCCTGTGATCAGCGGTTTAGGTATTTGGCTGCAGAGTCAAAGGTTGGGAGTTTGATTCCCCACTGTGCCTCCTTGACAGGGGTAGGACTCAGTGATTCATAAGAGTCCCTTCCAGCTTTGGAGTTCTGTGATGCTGATGGTATAAGAAGATACTTATAATGAATAGTGTTCATCTGCACAAGAGCAATTGTTAGTAGACCTGGTTACATATAAATCTGTGTAAAGTATTCTGTAGCAGATGTCTTAGGTTTGTTTCAATCTGGCATCCCTAATGTGCTTCTTTTCCGTTCTTTTTCCCCCCTAAAATAAAGACTCATGGGCTACGGTTTCCCCTGTCTCACATGGATGCGCTGAAGCAGATTTGGAACTCTGATACTATCCGTGTTGAGGAATTGAACCTTTCTTCAGATGCAGAAAAAGAAAACTTGGTTCTTTCCCTGTGGAGCGAATCCTTAATTGAAGTAAATTGATACCCTGGATTTCGGTGGGTGGGCAAAGCATATGTGTAAATCTCTTGATTGCGGCAGAAGGGATGTAAAGCATGACCCAGCCAAAATTAAAAGTCTGTTACAACACAGGAACACCATGTTGTTGCTTCTTGCATGGTACAAAGGGTCCCTTACATGTTTTTTTCAACAGATGTCGTGAAAATTGTGAAGGGCAGTTTGGTAGCCCAAATTTTGAAGTACTGTCAAAATTTATTTCATAAACTGAGACACAGACAGGTATCTAAAAGCTGGGAAGGATATTGCTGTTCCCTCTGCCGTCCGATCACCTTCTCCAGCGCCATTACCGGGGCTCACCTCCAGCTCATGTCGCCGCCTTGTCCCCTGCCTGAAGGGAGCCCGTGAGTGGTGCTGGAGGAGACGATCCTGCAGCAGAGGCAGCAGCAGCAGGAGACGGAGGCAAAGGAGCCGCCACGGTCAGCTGCCTCTCGCTGCTGCCCATTGACTGCTGCCACCACTGCCAGATCACCGCCTCCAGCGCCACTCGCAGGCTCCCTTCGGACAGGGGACAAGGCAGCAATGTGAGCTTGAGGTGAACCCCGGCAGTGGCACTGGAGGAGGCGATCAGGCGGCGGAGGCAGTAGCAGCAGGAGGCGGAGGCAGAGAAGCAGCCACGCTCGGCCACCTCTTGCAGCTGCCCATTGACTGCTCCTCCACCTCCAGCAAAGGTCAAAAATAGGGGGTCGTTTTATACCATGGGGGGGTCATATACATGGAAAAATACAGTAATACTCTGGCCTACAAAGCCAAAAGTACTTTTTAATTGAATTGATTTTAGTAATTTTATGGTACATAGAAAACACTCTACATTCATATGTTACAAAGGTTGCAAATAAGGGAGTATTCCTGAACAGGGTCCAGGAAGGGGGATCCTTGAAAATGAGGTAGAGCCACTTTTGGTGACTGGAGCCCTTTTGTTCACAGATATCAAATTTGAGATCTAGGCTATTATCTGTTGGTACCATCAGAAGGCATCTGTCTAGATACTCACTCACTCACTCACTCACTCACTCCGGGCATGGAAATACCCGGCGCCTGCGCCTTTAAGGATTGCAGCCAGAGGTGGACTGGGGAGTGTCCCAGGCAGACGCTGGAGGTTGTGCGGCCAGGGGAATGGGGCTCTTCGGGATGGTGATGGTTTTGTGTTGTAATTTGGGCACTCATGCTCAAAAATTTTTGCCATCACTCGTCTAGATGTACCTTTATTTTAGAGGAAACATGCAGAGAATTGCAGCTTTAAGATTATGTTAACCTTCAGCTTGAAATCAATGGAAAGTTTAAAAAAAACTAAATTGCGGGAAAGCAAGTAGGGGATTATGCATTAACTGGTGACATGTGAAACAGTGCTGGAAGCACAAAAGTGACAATGGGTTATTTGTGTATTTTATGAAAATTTGCCTTTTGCAAATTATTGTGTATAAAAAAGCTGTATATCCACTTGCTTAGAATAAATTTTCTGCCACCTCAGTGATCTCGCCAAGGTAAAACATTAACATACCTAGGAATATTATAATAGTAACATCAATTCTCTGAATACATTTTTGGGCTCTGTATTTGGGAGTCTTATGAGCACTCTCAGTTCCTGACAGTTGACACAGTATTATCTGGGGGTTACAGTTCAGAGAGAAGTAAACTAGGTTAACCTATCATTATAGATATGCACCTAACAGGAAAAGCACTATGTCAATGTTGCATGTGAAAAAACATTAGTTAAGCAACAAAGATTTGCTTTCTTGTAAGTTTTATAATATATAGTGTGATATACATGCATCATAATATAAATATATTGACAATATATGTTTTAAAGCTCTCCATCTTACAGGGAAGCAAATATTGTTGTTTGACTTTCATGTGCTATGGTGAGAGAACATTTTCCCTGTTAGGTAAACCTACAAGCTGGGGTAGAAAAAGTTAAACACAGTGTATAGTAGTTTTTCCCCACCTTATAATCTGTCTTTATTTGTTGTTAATAAAATAATAAAATAAACAAATATTTAGGCCACCCATACTTGCTTCCTTAATGCTTTATATATATATTTAAAGCATTTACCATAAAATAATGTAGCTGGAAGGGGGCCATAAAGCTATTAGTCCAACCTGTTTTCATTGCAGGAAACTAAATCAAAGTGTGTCTGACAGAGGGCTATCTAATACTTCCAGTGTTGGAAAGCTCATCAATTCCTGAGGCCATTGGTCCCACTGTCGGACTGCTCTAACAGTGAGGAAGTCTTTCCTGATGTTCAGCTGAAATCTGGCTTCCTGTAACTTGGGCCTCTTATTACATGTCCTGCATTGTGGAATGATTGAGAACAGATCCTACCCCTCCTCTGCATGACTACCTTTTAAGTATTTGAAGAGCACTATTATAGAAAAAGAAGAGGTGGCAAGAATACACAGAGGAATTATATCAGAAAGAGTTGGATATCCCGGACAACCTAGACAATGTAGTTGCTGACCTTGAGCCAGACATCCTGGAGAGTGAAGTCAAGTGGGCCCTAGAAAGCCTGGCTAACAACAAGGCCAGTGGAGGTGATGGCATTCCAGTTGAACTATGAACTATTTAAAATCTTAAAAGAAGATGCTGTTAAGGTGCTACATTCAATATGCCAGCAA